ATTTGGCTTTTTGGTTTATCCTTACAAGCTCTTCATATTAGACCTTAAAAAAATTAACATTTTTTAATTTTGCAAAATCTACAATTGTATTTTTGCGCACCATGTTTGACAAAATAGGAGTTTCTCATCTTAAATGGTATTTATAAAACAAGCAAAAGAAATTATGAAGAGTGACTTTCCCTCGAAAAATTGAAAATAAATATTTTTTACAAGTATAGTTAAGTGCATCCGTGGACACACTGTATATAAATATATATATATATATATCATATATAGAATTAAAACGGCCATTTCAATCACGCGGACGGAACAAATCACAAAACTTTTATAAAAAAATTGAAGGTATTTATATATATATTATTTTGGAATCAAAATTGTCAAAAAAAAATTTTTATATAAGGCTATAAATTAAATAAAAGAAATGCAAGAAATCAGAGTGCGTTGATAAAACGAGATAATTTTTTTAATAATGTACAGGGTGATCCCCTATAATGTCGCCCCCCTTTAACTTTTTTATTTTAAGTGTCCCAAAAAATTTAAAAGTGTGGTTATGTAGGAACTAAAAAATACTTTTTTTCTACGTATAAAGAAAATTGGAAAATTGATCAGTATACAGGGAAAAACAAAAAGTTTATTTTTTTTCAATGGATCACCCTATATTTGAATTTATTTTTCGATTCCTTGTAAAATTCTGAGCATAATTTATATACAAACCACATACCTAAATTCAACCGTTTCTGAAATATTCGCATTCGAAATGTCATCATTAAATGTTTTTTAAACTGTTAAAAATCAAGAAGCCTCAGTATACCAAAATTTTTATTGAAAATAAATTACTATAGTGACATTATGTCAATAAGTGTTGTTAAATAAGTAAAAATGGCGTACTCAGACAGAGAAAGACAAACTATTTCAACTTATTATCTTAAAAATAATTTAAATATTTCAGAAACGGTTGAATTTAGGTATATGGTATGATATATGAAATATGCTTAGAATTTTACAAGGAATCGAAAAATAAATTCATATATAGGGTGATCCATTGAAAAAAAATTAACTTTTTGTTTTTCCCTGTATACTGATCAATTTTCCAATTTTCTTTATACGTAGAAAAAAAGTATTTTTTAGTTCCTACATAACCACATTTTTAATTTTTTTGGGACACTTAAAATAAAAAAGTTAAAGGGGGGGGGCGACATTATAGGGGATCACCCTGTACAGTCGTGGATGGAACAAAAAAATATTTCATGTATTAAAGTTCTCTAAAAAATAATAATAATAATAATAATAAAATACTTTATTTTCATCCCAAGAAACATACAGTTTATAGAGGGACACCTCTAATCATACAATTTAATAAATATTTTTTAATTCTTAATACATTTCTTAAATCTAAATTAATTTTACTTTATTAATACATTTTAATTCTAAATAGGAACATATCATTTAAATATAATATCACAGAAAAAAGAAAATATATCACGATATATCATTAATGATTTTATTGAATAAACAATTGTTTATTCAATAAAATTCGCCACACAAGACGACATATGCTTTTTAAATTTAAATCCTTTAAGTTCTTTTATATTGTTTGGTAATTTGTTATAAACAGATGCTCCCTTACAACAGTATAGAGTTTTTACCGAATTCTGAAAATACTCGAAAAAAGGTATAAAATGTATGTAATTAGGAATAATTTCATGTAATCTGGGTTGCATAATAAATTTCCCCAAACAGCGTAAAAATTTTACATCTGGCAACATTGCGATGAATTTCTTTGAATCTGACATTTCTTGACAGTTCTTGTCAAAAAATCTGTCAAAAAAAGCATTTTCAAACTTAATTTTCTCAAAAACTAGTGAAAAACCCGCAATTTTTATTTATGAAATTTACTATTTAAAACGCCCTTTTTCAAATGGTAAATTTTTTTTTTGGAAATTCAGAGTGTGCTATAGTGTTCTGGACCCCACTATTCTATTCACCTTTTTTTCCATTTAGCACTTTGAGTTTTGAATAGTTAAGATGCAAATATTAGTGAACAATTCAAAACAAATTTTCTTTCTTCAAGAAGGAGCCACAATCCTCTTATAATGCGGGTAAATAAGTCATTGCACGATGATTGATCATTACAGCAGACAATTTCACATTTTTTTACGTCGTGCCGCTTGACAGCTTCAAAATTGAAATAACTTTTTGGTTGGGATTGACTTAGTTGCCATGGTAACTAAATAATCAAGTCGAGGTCAAGTTAAATCAAAAAATAAATTTTAATTATTTAAACACAATTTGGTGTGGAATTTTCTTACCGAATACCACACGAGGTCAAATTAAATCCGGAAATTTTTTCTCCCTCATGAATATTTTTAGAAAATTATCCCTCGTCTTCGACTCGGGATAATTTTCAAAATATTCATGAGCTCGAAAAAAATTTCCGGAAATAATTTGACCTCTAGTGGTATTACTAGTGAATATCTTTCATTTTTTTATTTATTAGACCATTATTATTTTGAATTAAAATTTTATTAATGATTTGGGTTCTATAATTGTTTAAATTTCGAATAAAATTTTATTTTTCATAAAAAATTCCCAAAAAATTAACTTAGATCGTCTTGAGGCACGTGTTGTTTTTAATTAAAAAAAAATAAAAAAAAATCCCAGTGTTTTTTTATCAAAAAGAAGCTTTTTAGGGGGCGTCGCAAAAAATGTAATTTTTAACGACCACACTAATATACAAATACAATACAAATTTTGAAATTTGTTGTCAATTTATTTTCACACAGACCTGTCACTTTTCACACAGAAATGTCACTTTACATTCGTGTTTTGCTTTGCCAATGAAAAGATTTATTTTCTAAGCAACAATGCCATTATGAAATGTGACTTTTATATAGTGGCCGTGGAAAATAGTATATTATGTATCAAGTTTGATAAACGCCATTTTATACACGAATTTAATTTAATGTGCTTAAGTTAATGAGTGTATAGAAAAGTTTATAAACGAGGTGCATACTATACTTTTTCTACGACAAATACTAAGTCTTTTTATTATCTTAAAATAATTTAAATCAAAAATTTGTATAGAGCGCCATCTATGAAACAACAGGGGAAACTGTCAAATGTCACATTTTTACATTTTATAAACACATGTTGTAAATCGAAATGTATCTTGAAAATTGACAGTTTTTCACAGTGAAAGTAAAAGGAAATGTTTTATGAGGACTTTACAGTAGTCCGTGCCCGAATTTAAGTTATAGTTTACTGCCGGCGAAATTAAAAGGTCAGTACAATGTTCATATAAACTTTTCAAATATTGGCGTTGAGAAACTATTTAATATTTTTGTATTGAGATAATAAAATAATTTTCACATTTAGTATTATTTTACAAGAATAGTTATTTATGTCATTAGGTGAAGAAGTAAGGCTTTTTGTGCTAAGCTCAAGGTTTGAAGGCCGACGCGTAGCGGAGGCCTACAATTGAGCGAAGCACAAAAAGCCACTTCTTGGCCAAATGGCATACAACATTTTATCTTCAAAGCACTTTATATAGGTCAACTTAATTCAACATAAAAGCGGCCTAACCTCCCTTTTTTAGAATCTCATTTATTTATTAGCTAAAGATTACATTAAATGTACAATAATTATTATTGCTTTTAGAAACAGTAATAGTTTGACAATACCTAGCAACATGATTTAAGTAGAAATGGATTTTTGCTATTACATTGAATTCAATTAATTGTTTAATAAATAGGTATGTATCTAATTTCAATTTATTTGGATTTTTATTTAAAAAATAGGTAGTTTGAAATGTTTAAGCTGTCTTTAACATTTAATTTCACTAAAAACTTAAAGCAAATTAAAACTTAAAGATAATTTAAATCGTGGAAAACGAATTGTGCGTTTTCTTGGTTGCCTAACCTTACTTTTTGTTTTATTATTCTTATTTAATTTTACAATAATTTAATGAAAAATATTAAACATTAAAAGTAAAACAAAAAAATAGTGCTTATTATAAATAAATTAAACCAGTTTAGTACGTTAATTTCTTGGAAAATGATTAATTTGTCAAAACAATACCCCTAGCGAGAAAAAATCGAACTAATTACTTGCCTCATAAAAATTTTTATCGGCCTAGGCCATAACAAGGTATTTCTTTATCAAATGTTGACAACAATAAAGTTTAAATTATAGACCGCGTGGAGATAAAGGCACTTTATTTTAAAGGAGCCTAACTCCATATGTACGAAGTTGAAACTTGAAAGACTGATGAAATGTCATAATTTTCAAATTATACTTGGACCAATAAGAGCGCTTCCGGATGATCGGACTAACGGACAAACGGATACATGAAAATACAAGGGTAGTCATGCGCAACGCGTCGCTAAGAGAAATTTCTTATTGATAAGGAGTTTTCCTTATTGATAACGACTGATAAGGAAAAAATCGGAACACAACGACAACATAACGTTGATTGTTGGTCTTGCTGATTAAAAAGTGGTTTACCCCAAAGATATTACCTTTGGTTTACCCCTTGATAAACAAAAAGTAGTTTTTTCAGAATAAATTTTATTTGACATTTTATCTGACATATGACAACTGTCAAGCGGTTTTAACTAGCGTCACAAAAAAAACGAATAACTAAAATTTTTATAAACATCATAATTAAGCACTAGCGAAGCTTGCGGAGCGAGTTATTAATAAATGAGAAGTTTACAAAACAAATTGCATACCATACTTTATTTACAACAAACCCATTAATGATATTTCAGAATTTAAAGTCAATTTTATTTGACATTTTATCTGACATCTAACATCACTCTTCCCAATCTGACATCTGTCAAACGGTTTTAACCCCACTTTTTCCCAATTTAATGCACTAGTGTCTAGTTTGTCTAAATTATTACTTCTTGACAATGGTACCTATTAGACAAACTAATTTTGCATATATGCAAAAAAAGTGTACCTTTATAATCTTGTTGCATAAATAAATATTTGTTTACCTTTATAAGTAGAATACATCATTAGAAAATCAGCTTGCACTGGTATTTTGTATGAATGATGAGATTCACCATCAGTCTCCGTTCTTATCATATTGACACCTTTATCCAGTTTATCTCCTTGGCAGGCTTGTATAAAAAACATTTTGGGTTTACCTACAAGAATGGTTCTAAAGCAATTGTTAATACATTTTTTTATAGTTTTTACCAGCCAAACTGGGACACCTGTCTCCAGTAAAATTTTTCCAGAGGTCATCTGGCTTGTAACAGGTGTCTTTGGCATAAATAATTCCCATTTCTCCATGTGACAGAACAGACACAATTATACAGCTTTTTTTTGAATGGTCCATTTTAGCCACTAGAAGAAACATAATTTTGAATAGGTACTGGGTGTGCCAAAAATGAAGCCATACCACTATGAAGTGTTATGTTTTGGTTTATAAAAAATATCCGCTATTTTTGGGACCATTTTAACTTTTGGGGTGTCACAATATTTTTGTGTAATTAAAAATAATATGTAGGTATTAAGCATATATCTATCATAGATATACATATGGTATTAAGTATACTCATATATGAACCTATTTCATCAGATAGTTTAATCCTTTTAAAATGAGAATATTTTACTATTTAATTAATTTATGTAAATTTTACTTAAATTATAAACTAAAACCTATAATTTTATGCCATCAGTTTTTGTAAATTACAAAATTCTTGTTTTTTGCATGACTCATACACATTTTTATATCAAGAAAAAAGTCAACATAGTTATCACTACCTACCTATGTATAGGTATATATTGATAAAAAAGATAGCTAAATCAATATGCAACTGTTTTAATGAAAACAAAAAAATAGATAAAGTTTTTTAGTGAAATTTTCAAAACCTATTTAGTACTTACAGTGATCCAAATTTTGCATAAGTTCATCATGTCTTAAATCCTTGAATTCATGCACATCAAAATTAAGATTTATCAGAACTTTCCTTAAATTTTCGGAGTCCCTATTGGTACCAGCCCTTTTCCTTAAATCATGGACTTGAAAGGTCTCGTGGTTAAAAATGTAGGCAATACTTTTCTCAGGAAAGTCCATTTTATAATGAGATGCGTATTTAGCCACTGGCATTCGTGCATAATTCTCTCCATTTGAATTACTAAAATAAGGACAATATTAAATCAATTTTAAGTCATCTTCTGTTACAGTTAAATTACCCTCCACTGCCCAAGGCATCTCCTTCGTCGTTGTTTTCACCGTTGGCACCGTTTATGGGATTTACGTCCACTGTGTCGTTGCTTTGGCCGTTGTTACCGATTTCATCCACACCCGAATTCATCGTTTTTCGAAAATTAAACGTGCTTTGTTTTAAACTCAACTGTCAAACCACTTGTTTACAAAGGAAATGCGATTCTGAAGTGTGCGTTGCACGATGAAGCCACTCTTTTGTTTGAAAACTCACCAAACTTTTCGGCTATCTCTTTCCCACCAACCCGAGTTTTGTATATTGCTCTTTGTCTTTTGATTGGCCAGGGGGCGCTTATTTACAGTGTTGTCGGTTTTTCATCGTAACAATTGTTTTTGCGGTTATTAACTATTTAAATAGTTAAAAACCGCAAAATGCGATAATTTAATAAAACTGTATCAAATATTAAACTGTCTTTAATACACCACTATATATTTATTATTATTATTTCGTGTTTATCAAATAAGGAATATTTGGCAACATAGAAATATAACCTCCAATTTATTAAGAAGTGTTTATTTGGAACAATTTATTTCTTATTAAAAAAAAACACAAATACCTATATTGAATTTATAAGAAATAAATATGCCTCCCAAAGCAAGATTACACAAAACCACAGGAAAACCTTGCACGCTACCCCCAAAAGTGATTTTAAATTCTGAACCATCCACCAGTAATGGAATTTCTCCCGAGTTAGAACAGCAATTCGAACTGGAATTATGTTGGTGCATACAGCAACTGCAGACGGCTTTAAAATCCGGCAAATTAAAAGATAAACAAGGTATGTTTTTTAAAAATATTGCAGCATCGTTTAAGGTTTACAAATTTTAGTTCAGGATCATACCAAGGCTTTAAACACTTTGATGAGCAATGCTGCACCAATGGTTAAGAAAAGACAAGTTATGAGATTATCTTTTGGCGACTACAGAGCCAAAATGTCTGCAGAGGAAAAGAAATTAAGAAGTAAGTAGATTTTTCAACCTATTTTTTTTTTAATTTATTCACGGAACTTTTTAATACAATTTTATTGTTCCAATAGATTTTTTTCTAAGATAGGTTTACTAAAAAAAATAAAATTTGGAGTCCAAATTGGACTACCTACATTGGTTACCATTTACCAGTGATGTAATGTATCGAGATACATGTATCTAGTACATTTTATGTACCTAGATACGTATCGAGATACTTAAAAAAATCAGGATCTACTTTAGTATCTAGATCCTTTTAAAAGTATCTAGATCCTTAGATACAAGATACATTTTATTTTACCCAACCTGATTGCAACTCCACACCGTGTGGGCCACACGGAAAATGAACATCCAATGGATATACTCTATGGATATCCAGGATATATACCTACATTGGATATTCTTGATATCTCCCGTAAGAGATGAACAATACAAATAATAAAAAGATATTTTATTTCTTTTTCCCTTCAACCCACTTTGGAGTGCGAAGTGCATAAAGTAACTCTTAGGCACTAGTGATTAAAGTTAAACAAAAGCGCTGTAGGTTACCTATAGTTGGCTTTGAAGGCATTTTTCTTCGTTCTGATAATTTTGAATTTGTACTACAAATTTTGTAGTAAGCTTTCATATGGCGCGTAAATATAAAATTTATTTCCGTTTTTCATGGATATTTCGTCAATTTTATCAAAACAGTTTTATTTTATAGTTAACACGCTTGTTTATAAGGTCCAAAAAAAATTTTTTGTCATTTAATTTTTAAGTTTTTTTAACATAGTATCTGGAAGTAACTTAGATACTTTTTGAATGTATCTGTATCTGTACCCAGATACATCTACCAGAGAGTATCTGTATCAGTACCTAGATACTGAAAAAAATGTATCGGTTACATCACTGCCATTTACTGATATTAAAATACCATTAGAATCCCATCATTATTAATTTCAAATGAGAATAAAAAAGTAAATTTCGACAGAATTTTATTTTTATTCTGTTTTATTTGAAAAAATTACCTAACTATCTCAAAATTAATTTTCATTAACACTGACATAAAATCATAGTAAGTAATGGTGAATTATTGTTCTAGACATCAATATGAAAGTGGTACCAGGAGTGCCAAGTAAAAAGTCGGTTTTCCTAAAAAAATCGGCATTTTCTTCAGCTGGTAACGAATTTCGTTTTGATTTTAAGGAGCCAAATGAAAGTGATCTTGTCAATGACTTGGAAAATGTAAAAATCGACAATGATACCAAAACAAATGATAATACTAGGATAAATCAAAAGCATTTTGTACCCTCTGGTAACAATTTTAGATTTAATTTTAGTGTTGAAATGGAGCCGTAAATTTTAAGGTTTAAAATAAAACTTTACAAAAAATGTAGTCTTTATTTAAAACAGAAATTAATATATGTAAAATAAAATAATAATACCTTAAATTTAAGTATATTAAATTTATATTATTATACAGGGTGTTCCTGAATTCACCAGGCTAATGAGAAAAACATCACATTAAAAAATGTCACTCTTTTGCATGTAAGAAATACCTGAGCAATGTCATCTTGGCAGGGACTTCAGTATAGTGGTTAAATAGTTAAAAAATATGTAGTTTTATATCATTTTAATACCAAAGTACTAAAGTAGAGCTATTTTTCTTTCAAAACCTTGCAGCAAAAAAGCTGTTTAGGACATAATTTAATAAAATTACCTTGTCCTTTAGAATCAGAGTCTGAAATATATGTCACTAAGGAACACCCTGTATATTTTCAAATATTTTTTTAACAAAAAACAAGTTGACACTTTTTAACAAAAACGTGGCTCAACAATTTTGAGTCAAAATCACAATGGATATTAATTAAATATTACAGGGATGACAAATAAAAATTATGTATTTTAATAATAATTTTTAAGTCATAATTTTTTATTAAAACTATAAAAATTGTAGATTTTTATTAAAATTAAAATTTAAGAGGGATTAAAACAATAATTATTATTTATATTGTTTTTTTTTTCGTAAATTTAAATAGTTTTGAAAGTTGTGAATAAATACAACCAACTTGTTTTTTATCACATTTTTCAGGTTCATCAGTTTTGCTTCTATAATCCAAAGCAATTTCTTGATTTACAAATGTTAAAATTGTAAGTAAACTTTCCTTATACTTAAGTGGTTCCAATTTATTACATAATGTTTGGATAAACCATGAACCATTGTTGTTTCTCCAAGAGGAATGTCCTAATGAAAAATGTATATGAAGTAAAAATTAAAATTAGTTAATTTTATAATACCTGGAGCCGAGGACCACATTACAAGCAAGTGATCTTGCGGTTCTGGAAAATGTAAATATGGTTCAGTAGGTGACTCTTTAGGCCTATAAATGACCTTGGTATCAGTTCTGCTAAAATTTTCAACTCCCGTTTGATGCGGCACAAAATTCCTTATAATATTACCATCGTCAAACTTATTACCACGACAAGCGTTTATAAAAAACAATACTGGTTTACCTAAAATGCAGTTAGCTCAATAAATCCGGACTTATTGAGATATTGATTTAGTCTTTCTGAAAATAATACAAAATAATACAATATATATATTGTATTACAATATATATATTGTATTACAATATATATATTGTATTGTAATAAGTATATATACAGTGTGACCCATTTGTTTGCGACTCACCCCTGTAAAATCTTTATTTATTGTGCGATTTTAACCGGATTGGTTTTAATGTGTAAATCTTGATAAACAGTATTTTCGAAGCAAAAAACACCATATTTTTACAAAATACAAGGCCTCTTAATATTAATTATTATGTCAGTTTTTGAGAGTAATTTTAAAAAAATTCATATTAGCGATTAAAAAAAATCTATGCACGGCACTAGATTCACAACCCCTCATAACGACCCTATACTAAATTTTATCAAAAAAATTTAATTAGGAACGATTTTGTAGCTATATTTAAAATGAACAATAATTACTATTCACAAAAATTTATTCTGTCAAGTTATCCATGAAAAAACATTGAAATAAAATTAAACTAATAGTCACATGGTATAAATATTCTTATGCTAAGTTTTAACAAATAAAAAACGCAATATAAATTTAAAACAACAATGATACAAAAAATAGAGAATTCCAAAAACTCTACAATTATATTTTTGTATGACATGATGATGTCATAATGATGCATTTATATTTTTTTATATCCTTTCTCTTGTTTGTTAATTTCTTAAGTGAAACACAGACAAACTGTGAAGTGAAATTTTGATCATAATCTTAAACCAACGATTTCTCAAAGAGAAAAAAATGCAAAAATTTAAAAAAGATTTGAATAAGTAAATTAGTACTTTTAGATGACATACGAAGTTTTGTAAAAAAAAATTATTTTGTGATGTTTCACTTTTCTAATTTTGGGTTAGAATTTCTCAAAAACCTGACATGGAAAAATTTAACAATATATAGTTTTGTAGACTTGCATAATTTAATAAATTTGATGCATACCAATGGAGGCAAATTTGGACCATAACTTATTAGGGTTGTAGAGCCTATCATAAGCATAAACCAAATCTTTTTCCCCATGAGTCATTATAAATACCATAACACAGTCACAATCCATATAATCTTTTTTTGAAGCTAAAAATAACTAAACTAAATTATGCTCAATTAGGTTTGTTTACTTAAAAATCTACCTTTATAAATTTTTTTCTTAATGTTGCTATACGTAAAATCTGTGTAAATTTTCCATTTAAAACCTAAACTATCACAGTTGTTTATTAGTCTTTCCACATCCTTGTTAGATCCTGACCTTGTCTCAAGAGATTTATCTTTATATCTATAGTGGTTAAATATAAAAGCATGGCCCCGAAATTTATTATCCATTTTATAATACAAATTTTCTTCAGTAATTTGCGTGTTTAATCTTATAATTTCTAATGATCTGAAAATAATAAATAATGCCGAGAAGTTTTAATTTTTAATATCTCGAAAACAAATATATACTTCTTATAAGATTAAAAAACGTGTTGTTTATAACTGACCTTAAAGGATTACTTTCTTCCTTACATCTGTCATCATTTTCGCGCATTTTAAAGTCCATGGGTCTCGATCTTCCCATGCAACCGCCATCCGGCACATCTTCACCCATTTTCTTCTGAAGAAAAAACAATTTATTTTTTATCAAAATTTAATATAAAAAAGAATTTTTCATTTGGGTTGCCACGTTAATATATATTTAGATCAATTTTATGTAGGTGTAGTTATGTCTGGCAAAATATTTCGTAGTATACTACTATATATACATGATTAACACATTTTTTACGAGTTCATTGTCTTCTTCAAGGTCGATCTTAATGCGGGATGTTATACAAAAACAACAAATGTTGAAGAATTCGGTCAAAATGTTTATTTATTTTTTACAAATTATACAGGTGGTTACGTACAAATGGGACACGTCATAAATATGGGAGAAAAGAATAAAATTTATGATTTATAAACTTTTTTATTAAATGTTGATATTTTTAAAAACTTGTCGATACTTTTATCACCGAACACACAACACATAAAAGGTTCACCGTCGCGGAGGTCGATTGGGCCCTTTTATAAAATGTTGTTTAATAAAAATAATAAGTTAATTTTATTAATTAGATTAAAAAATCGCCACGGCAGGTTAATATATAATAACCGTCGCAACAAACAGTATACTTAGACACTTCCTACATTCAAATGACATTTTTTATCATCAAATGACATTTGATTTAATCATTAATATTAATTATTAGTATTATTAAATGAGTCAATCCAAATGAAAACACCAAAAATTAATTTAAAAGTGCGCTGCATGATTTTATAAGAGGCTAAAACTTTTTTTTCTGTGGCAATTATTGAAATGATTATAATTTTATTTTACTGCCTAGAAAGTATGTTTTCAATATTAATTATTATTATCTAATTAGTTCATCTCATAAAAGAATGGTAAACCACTAAAGATTTGTAATAATTTGCCAATTTTTGTGATCTTTGTCTGGCTCCTGTGCCTATTCTGCTAAATCTAGAAAGTTGCTTTTTTTCAGTTATCAAGTACAGTTGTATTCAATAAAAAAGCGTACAAGAATTAGAATGAGAGAAATCTGTCAAAATAATATTATTGCTTAAAACCGGCTTATCACTGACATAAGTCATTAAAATAATTACTATAGGTTATAAAGAGCATTGACGTCGTAGGTTAATTAAATAATATTACAAAAATTATTAATTTTTAATATAGATTTTTTATTTCTATTATACCACGGTACGAATTGCCCATTCTTCTTCGATTCTTGATACTATTTGAGCCTTTTTAACTGACGAGGCATTTTTATTTTCTACTGTCAGTTATAGTGACTTAAGTCAGTGGAAAGCCGGTTTTACGCAATAATGTTGACAGTTTTCTCTCATTCTAATTCTTGTACGCTTTTTTAATGAATACAACTGTACTTATACGATAGAAAACGTAAATATTATTTTAAGTTTCTAGACTATCATTTTCTTTATTAAAAAAATTATTGAAACTTGATAATTTTCAAAATTAGCAAATTTTGCCGTCAGAAATCATTATGTTGAGGAAAAAATAAAAATCTGAAACTTTCAGGAAATGTAGTCCCCACCTTCATCTTTTCATACTAGTTAGTCTTGTTTTGTTATTTTTATCCATAAAAAAGATATATTTTTTAATGCAGTTAAGAAGCGATATTGTTAGTATTATTTATAATTTAAAATTTAGATGGCTTTGATTCATGTTTGGTAGAGAAATGTCAGAACTGTCAAAAATATTTCATAAATATTATTTGTGCGTATTTAAATTGTGATTTCAAAAAGTTTGCAAGTTTGCAAGTGTAATAAATGACTGAGTGTTCGAGATTCATGAATTTAATTGCAATTAAAAATGAAAGAACATATCATAATTTTGTACCTCTTCCTCATAGAAAATATTCAAGTTCTGAGAAGTTTTAAATTGTTAAAAAAAAGCAAAAACCAAAAAATATTCTAAATAAACCCCTTTATTGTAAAATGTTTTATTTTAACCAGTTACCTAAAAACAAAAATTTAAAGAAGTATTTACAGATTGTGTAAATTTTTTTCCAAAAAAAATTTACACAATCTGTAAATACTTCTTTAAGTTTTTTGTCGGTTTCTTTCACAATTTAAACCAAGTTTCACAATTTAAACCAATTTAAACCAAGTTTCAGGTCAATTCTGGGTTCTCTCGTAAAATTTCTGTAAATTCGTAAATCTATAGCTTACGATGATCTGTAACTATAATGCTTATAGAATCGTAAAAGTGGCAATTCTGGGATGTTATCTGTAAATGTCTAATTTAAAGTAGTATAAACAAACTACTGCAACTTCACGCCTATTTACTTACGATCAGCATAACCTATATTTTTAAATGTATTATTTGGTTTATCCACAGTTTATCGGTTTTCATTTATGTATCAGCATATAATATAATACAAAAAGTAAGAAATTTAAACTGGTTAAGGAATAAAATGAGGTAAGATAATTTTACATTTAAAAAAACATAATATATAATGAATAAAATTGTTAGTGCGTTGGGTGAAGAAGTCAATCAATGGTTATAACCACTAGAGAAAAAGATAAAAAAAACACCACTCCTCAACAGTTGAACTATATTTGGATGCAATGGATGGAGATTATCCATTGGGCCAACCATGGCAGGATAACTTTGAACAATGAGCAGAAAATCAAAAAAAACATTTTGAGCTTATTAAAAACTATTTAGAAAATTATATAAAGCTGAAAGAAGAACAATTAGGATTTAAAATGAAAAAAATTAAATTTTTAAATCCAAATTTTGATATTTGACCTAGTAATTTTTAACTAATATTTATTTATTTTGTTATTTATTTCTTTTTTGACCGAGTAGGCTGTGGTTTATTTTTTTAAGAATATTATTTTATTTAATTTTCATAGGTAGGTATGTAAAATAAAAATATAAAGTTTTTGTATTAATACAATTATTGTTTTATTTAGTCAAAATTGAAATTATTTCTAATGTAGTTGGCCCAGGCTGCTTGTCCCAATTGATAAATATTACCATTATCATATCCACATTGACATTATTAAAAATATTCATGTTTTTAATCTTTAAAATAGTTTTACATAACCTAACAAAAACAAACTGTAACTAGCAACGATTGGGAAACACCCGATCGTAAATATTTACGATTCTATAAGATTTTCTGTAAGCTACAGGAAGCGCAGAATTGCAAATTGTCTATAAGCCTATAGAAAGTTACAGATTTGCTTATAGATGCTTACAGATGTGCGCAGAATTGACCTAATATATTATTATTATTGTTCTATTATTTTGATCCCTTTAGTAAGGCACTGAATAGTTAAAAGTTATATGTATCATACGGGTCAGTCCATATCAAATCAACCAAAGGTTTTTCCCTCACCATCTCCGATTTTGATAATTTTTGGTAAATTTGTTTACCTCACTAAAAAACTCAAAAATCCCAAATTTGAATTTTTTTCGATAGGTGGTTTTTGTTTTATTGATTTTTGAAAATCAAAAAATTACCGATTTGGGTCTTGCAAGTACTTACAAAAATAGCGATATCTCGTAAACTATTAAAAGTAGAAAGGTGAGTGATGGCTTATTTTAAAGGCCTATTAGATACCTTTTTTTGATATATCACATGACCTAAATTTCTTTCAAAAAAATATATATTTTTTGTGCACATTTTGTTAAGCTATGTACAAAATTTCAAGATGGACACTCAACGGGTTCATGGTGAAAAAAATTATAAAGGAACTCACTAACATACAAAATAATATTTATGGGTCATTTTACTCCAAATAGTTGATGAGTTTGATTTTGTACCTTTGATTTTTTCACTTTTTTGCAGCCGCACGGTGGGCTGGGATACAAATCTAACTGGACAAAATTAGTTACTCCCTCAAAAATTAGCAAAGCCATATTAACCGCATATTTAACTTAAATAAAAATAAAAAATATTTGTTATATATTTTTTGTGCACATCGTGATATTGACACTTGTAATCTTAAAAAAAATTAAAATGTGCATGCACACATCTAAATTAAATGCAAAAATATATTTCTCCCCTACGGTCCTACATACATTGTTGTAGCTAGAGATCAGGGCCATATTACCCATTAGGCAGGAAAGGCAATTGCCTTAGGCGCCACGTAGAAATAGGCGCCTTGTCCCCAAGCAACTTAAAAAATAAATAAAAATTGTTACCAAAATGTTTATTTTTTCCAAAAATAAAACAAATAAACAATATACAGGGTGTCCCAGGTTTAATGATCTTAATTTTGCCAGTCTGTAGAGAATCAAAAAACAAAACGAATTTCCAAGGAAAACATGTATCGAAAAATTGAAAATAACTGAGATACAGACCCCCAATTTTTTAAATAAAAAAATATTTTTTTCTCATAACTTTTTAACTTTTGAAGTACAAACAAACACTGTTTACTGAAATGTCATTAATTTTCAAATGTATGCTATGGTAAAGCGAACACTTATTACCCATTTTCAAGTACCTAGGTATGAATTCCATGTCATACACATGGGTGTCTGGAGATGTTTTTCAAACATTCAAACTCGAATATTTTTGTATCGAAGCGTCATATCAAAAATTTACCGTAGTAACTTTATTTCCCTAATTGAACACAGAATTAAAAATAGTGTCAGTATTTTAAAAAAGTCAGTGGCGTAAACATAGGTCGGAAAAAGGAAACCTACACCCTCAATATCTATGCCACTGGAGTGCCTTGAAAAGAATTGTTATAAGCAGTACGTGAGTCAGTATTTTCCAACTATATGCATAAAATTTCAGCCAAATTAGTGAAACGGTTTAAAAGTTATGGGAAAAAACGATTTTTAGTTTCAAACTTTGTAGATCTGTATCTCACTTATTTTCAATTTTTCGATACATGTTTTCCTTGAAAATTCGTTTTGTTTTTTGATTCTCTACCGACTGGAAAAATTAAGATCATTAAACCCGGGACACCCTGTACAATTGTAATAACAGAATATTTTTTACTGTTTTTATTATTTTATAAAAATTTACCTTCCTTTGTAATAACGAGGTGTAAAGCCGACAAAAATCGTGCCGC